GATATTTATTATAGCTATGTCCTCTTGTTCAATTGATCTTTTAATCATTATATAATGTTCTTCCTGGGAGCTCTGGTAGTGTAGTGCCTAAGGCATTTGACTACCAACCAGAAGGCTGGGGGTTCAAACCCACCAGCCAATCCTCGGAAGGAAGTTTGGGAAATCTACTTCTGTAGTAATACCACCTTGGAAACCCAAGGAGGGGTTGTTATGAGTTGGATCGAATTCGACGGCAGCAAGTTTGACTGGTTTTTTGGAATGTCCTTCCCTCTCTCATGGTGGTTTTTGTCTTAAAGTCAATTTTATCGGAATATTGCCACTTCTGCTCTTTTATGGTTGCCATTTGTTTGATATATCTTTTTTCAACCTTTGAGTTTTAGTTTATTTTTGTCTTTGTCTCTAAGATATGTCTCTTGTACATAGCATATTGATGGATTATATTTTCTTTTCCAGTCTTCAGGTCTCCATCTCTAGAGTGGTGCATTTAATCCATTTACATTCAGTGTAATTATGGACAAGCATGAATTTGTTGCTGTTTTTTTTTTTTTTTTTTTTGTGAGTGTGTGTGGTGTTTCTGATTTCTTTGTTCCATATAATCTTCTGTGCTGAGCTTGTTTTGTTCATGAATCATATTATCCTTCCTTCCTTCATTGCTATTGTTTTAGTATCTGCTAAATATTTGTGACTTGTTCTCTTTTTTATATTGATGTGAAAGTTTATCATTTTTCTATTATCCACTTGTGCAAACAGCACAAGGAGGCAACTGACAAATATTAAGACTCAACTTAAGGAAATGTTGCCAATACTGGGAAAATGTTAGCTCTTGGAGGAGGGAATTCACTCCAAAGTCAATTACTCACAAGCAGAGTCAGCTGAGTCATTCCAGGGGGGCAAATGGACACCTTGGGGATGAAATAGTGTCTGTTGACCTAGAGACAGATTGCAGGGATGTATTCTAGGGGATGGAGTCACTGGGTGGTGCCAATGGTTAAGTGCTTGGGTATTAACCAAAAGGTTGATGATTTGAATCCACCCAGAGGCATCTTGTAAGAAAGGCCTGGTGATATACTTCTAAAAGATCATTCATTGAACACCTTATGGAGCATAGCCCTACTCTGACACACATGTGGTCATCATAAGATGGAACCAACTCTGTGGCAACTTTTTTTTTTTTTTTAATTCTAGGAAATCATTAGAAATCACAGATAAAATTTAGCCCTAACTATGCTCACCAAAGGGCTGTTTCAAAAGTAACAAAAAATATCAGAAGCAATAAATGACATGGAGTTGTCGTTGTTGTCAGGTACTGTCAAGTTGGCTTCAACACATAGTGACTCTATGTACAACAGAACAAAACACTGCCTACTCCAGGGCCATCCTCATAATCCTTGTTATGCTTGAGCTTATTGTTGCAGCCACTGAGTCAATTCATCTTGTTGAGGGACTTCCTGTTTTTGCTGACCCTCTACTTTACCCAGCGTGATATCTTTCCCCAGGGAATGGTCCCTTCTGACTACAATACCAAAGTAGGTAAGATGAAGTCTGGCCATTTTCTCTTCTAAGGAGTATTCCAGCTGAACTTCTCCCAGGACACATTTGTTTGTTGTTTTGGCAATCTGTGGTATTTTCATTGTTCTTCACCAACACCACAATTCAAGGGCATCAACTCTTCTTCAGTCTTTCTTATTCATCGTCCAGCTTTCACATGCATGTAAGGTGATTGAAAATACCATGGCTTGGGTTAGGTGCACCTTAGTATTCAAAGTGACATCCTTGCTTCTTAACACTTTAAAGAGGTTTTTTGCAGCAGATTTTCTCAGTGCAATACAGCATTTGATTTCATGACTGCTGCTTCCACAGATATTGACTATGGATCCAAGTAAAATGAAATCCCTGACAACTTCAATCTTTTCCCCATTTATCATGATATTGCTTATTGGTCCAGTTGTGAGGATTTTTGTTTTATTTATTTTGATGTATAATCCATACTGAAGACTGTAATTGTTAATCTTCAAGTTGATACTTCAAGTCATCTTCACTTTCAGAAAGAAGGTTGTGTCACCTGCCTATCACAAGTTGTTAATGAGTCTTCCTCCAATCCTGATGCTGTGTTCTTCTTCATATAGTCCAGTTTCTCAGATTATTTGCTCAGCATATAAATTGAATAAATATAGTGAAAGGATGCCACCCTGACACACACCCTTCCTGATTTTAAACCATGCAGTATCCCCTTGTCCTGTTCAAATGACTGCCTCTTGGTCTATGGACAGGTTCCTCATGAGCACAATTAAGAGTTGGAATTCTCATTCTTCCCAATATTATCTATAATTTGTTATGATGCACACAATCGAATGCCTTCATATAGTCAATAAAACACAGGTAAATATCTTTCTGTTATTCTTTGCTTTCATCCAAGAGCCATCTGACATCAGCAGTGCTATTCCTCTTTCCACGTCCTCTTCTGAATCCATCTTGAATTTCTGGAATTTCCCTGTCAGTACTGCTACAACAATTTTTGAATTATCTTCAGCAAAATTTTAATTGTGTGTGATATTAATTATATTGTTAAGTAATTTTCACATTCTGTGGGATTACCTTTCTTTGGAATGGGCACAAATATTGACGTCTTCTAATCGGTTGGCCAGATAGCTGTCTTCCATATTTCTTGGCATAAACAAGTAAGTGTCTCTGCATTGCATCCATTTATTGAAATATCTCAATGGGTATTCTGGCAACTTCTGGAGCCTTTTGTTTTGTTTTGCCAGATCCTTCAGTGCAGCTTGGACTTCTTCCTTCAATACCAATGGTTCTTGATCACATGCTACCTCCTGAAATAGCTGAACATCGACCAATTCCTTTTGGTACAATGATTCTGTGTATTCCTTCTATCTTCTTTGGATGCTTCCGGCATCATTCAACATTTTCCCCACAGAATCCTTCAATATTGCATCTCAAGGCTTGAATTTTCTCCTTCAGTTCTTTTCACTTGAAAAATGTCCAGAATGTTCTTCCCTTTTGGTTTTGTAACTCCAGGTCTCTGCATGTTTCATTATGGTACTTTATTTTGTCTTCTTGAGCTGCCCTTTGAAATCTTCTGTTCAGCTTTTTTATTTTGTCGTTCTTCCATGTGCTTTAGTTACTCTCCTTTCAAGAACAAATTTCAGAGGCACTTCCAACATCTATTTTGGTCTTTTCTTCTTTTCCTGTCTTTTTAAAGACCTTTTACTTTCTTCATGTATGATGTCCTTGATGTCATCCCACAACTCATCTGGTCTTTGGTCATTGGTGTTCAATTTGTCAAAGCTATTCTTCAGATGGTCTCTAAATTCAGGTAGAATATAATCAAGGTTGTATCTTGGCTCTTGTGGATTTGTTTTAATTTTCTTTAGCTTCAACTTCAGTTTGCATATAAGCAGTTGATGGTCTGTTCCACAGTCAACTTCCAGTCTAGTTTTGACTGAACATATTGAGTTCCTCCATTGCTCTTTCCCTAGATGCAGTACATTCTGATTTCTGTGTATTCTATATGGTGCGGTCCACATGGACAGCCACTGTTTATGTTGTTGAGAAAAAGCATTTGCAGCAAATAAGTCATTGGTCTTGCAATATTATATCATAAGATCTCTGGCATAATTTTTATCCCCAAGATGATATTTTTCCATTACTGACACTTCTTTGTTTCCAACTTTTGCATTCCAATCACAAGCAATTTAATTTCAGACTGCAGAAGCTGGTACAAACCTTCAATTTCTTCATCTTTGGCTTTAGTGGTTGCTTGGTAAATTTAAATAATGGTGGCATTAACTGGTCTTCCTCCTAAAAAAAAAAAAAAAACCACAAAAAAACCATAATCACTGCCATCGAGTTGGATCTGACTCATAGCAACCCCTCCTTGGGTTTCCGAGGCCATGTCACTACGGAAGTAGATTGCCCAATCTTCCTTCCAAGGAGTGGCTGGTGGGTTTGAACCCTTTGGTTAGTGGTCAAATGCCTCAGACACTATGCCACACAGAGCTCCTAGTTGTAAGTATATTATCATTAGTGACAGCATCATACTTCAGGATAGATCTTGAAACATTCTTTGTTATGATGAATGCAATGCCATTCATCTTCAATTTGTCAGTCCCAGTATAGAAGAAAAGTATGAAACATCAATATAATGCAATAATACTGTGCAGCCATTAAGTGAATTTGTAGAAAATTCAAGGGCATGATATGATACTCATGTAAGTATACCATATTTATATATAATTATAATATATAAAAGGAGCTCTGGTGACACAATGGGTAAGCACTCAGCTACTAACAAAAGGCCAATAGTTTGAACCCACCCAGCAGCTTCACAGGAAAAAAGACCTGGTGATCTACTCCTGTAAAGATTATAGCTTAGAAAAACCTATGTGGGCAGTTGTCCTCTGTCACATACGGTCTCCATGAGTTGAAATCAACTAGATGGCAGCCAACAAAAACAACATCCCACAATATATAAATATATAAGTGAATGTACTTTAAAGAGCAGGTCACAATTAGTATGTAAAGTATGAATCTTTTACAAAAAGCATATTTATGTACATTTTAAGTCTGGGGAGGATATAACCAAAGTGTGAAAAGTGGTGATCATCTCTGGGTGGTAGTGATTTGTGCTTTCATCTTTTGCTTACATATATTTTCTAAAATATCCACAATGTACACATATCACCTGTGTAATAAGAAAATGAAAATTTTAAAAATGATGGGGTGCTTGTTTGTTTGTTTTGTCTATATAAAAGGGAGTTTTGTGCTCATCATGTTTCCTAGTCTGCTCTGTGGGCACAGTGCTTTGGGGCATGGTTATAGCTGAGTGTTGAACTTGATCAGCAATGATTCATCCTGTCTCTCAGCTCCATGAGGTAGGGTTGATAATTTGAGCTTTGGTTTTGCTACAGATTTATTGCTTTTCCTTGGCATTGTGGTGAACTAGAGCTACCATCCTTTTGTTGGTCCTCCTCCAGATAACTCACCATCTTCCAGCTACTCTTCTTCATCTAGATACTCTAACCCTTCCAGATATTTTCCCTCCAGGTTCCCTCCCCTATAGATACTCACTGTCTTCCAGAAGCTCTTCATATATATGTAGATACAGTTCTTTTCCTTCTAGATATTTTCTCTCCAGAGGAAATACTGTTTCATATTCATACTTACCTATTTCTGCATAATTTTATCTCTCCAGATCCATTTCTTCTAGATACTATTCCTCCTCAGGAAATTTTTCTCACAAACATTCTTTCTGAAAAGTCTCCTCGTCTAGTTTTATTTCATCATCCTCACCCTCTGAAAAGAAGGTGTGTGTGGAGTTTTGGGAAGTTGTGGGTGGATGAGAGGATGATGCTCCTGACCACTTTCTTTTAGCAGATGTGCTGAGGAAGCAGTTAGCAGAGGAAAACCTTCAGTAGCAGGCAAAGTCACTTGATCATCTTGGTAACCAAGACAGAAAGGAATAAAATTCCATTGTTGTTGTTGTTGTTGTTAAGTGCCGTCGAGTCATTTCTGACTCATAGCGACCCCATGCACAGCAGAACGAAACACTGCCTGATCCCGCGCCAGCCCCACAATCCCTGCTATACTTGAGCCCATCATCGCAGCCACCGTATCAATCCATCTCGTTGAAGGCCTCCCCCTCTTTAGTCGACCCTCCACCCTACCAAGCATGACATCCTTCTCCAGGGAATGGTCCCTTCTTACAACATGACCAAAATAGGTGAGACGAAGTCTGGCCATTCTTGCTTCCAAGGAGCATTCTGGCTGCACTTCCTCCAGGACAGATCTGTTAGTTCTTTTAGCAGTCCATGGTACTTTCAGCATTCTTTGCCAGCACCACAACTCAAAAGCATCAACTCTTCTTCGGTCTTCCTTATTCATTGTCCAGCTCTCACATGCATATGAGGCGATTGGAAATATCATGGCTTGTGTCAGGCGCACCTTAGTCCTCAAGGAGATATCCTTGCTCCTCAGCACTTGAAATAGTTCCTTCGCAGTTGACTTTCCCAATGCTACACGTCATCTAATGTCCTGACTGCTGCTTCCGTTGGCACCGATTGTAGAACCAAGCAACATGAATTCCTTGACAAGCTCAATCTTCTCTCCATTTATTGTGATGCTGCTCATTGGTCCAGTTGTGAGGATTTTTGTTTTCTTTATGTTGAGATGTAATCCATACTGCAGACTGTATTCTTCAACCTTCATCAGTAAAATTCCATTAGGTTTTGCTTATTCTAATCTTTGTTCACTCATTTCATTCAACAGCCTTTGGTGGGCCTTTTGAGTATGCATGTTGGTACATGGTGGCCCATGAAAAGGTACAAAAAAAGAAGAACGAGAGATGTTACCCTCAAGGACCTATTTGGGGAGACCACAATTGAAGGTAATGTCTTTGAAATTACTAAATATGGTGAAATAACTGAGAATGGCTGCAAAGTGAAGGAGTGCTTCAAAAACCCAACAAAACCCGCTGTCCTTGAGTCAAATCTGACTCATAGTGACCCTACAGGCAGGACAAAACAGTCCCATAGAGTTTCCAAGGTTGTAACTATTCATCACACCTTTCTACAGTGGAGCTGGTGGGTTTGAACTACCAAAAGGTTTTTTGTTTAACAGCTGAACTCTTTAACTACTGTGCCACCAGGGTTCTGAGGGGGCAATTATTAGAGAAGACTTTTCCTTATTCATGAAGAAATATTTATTACCATAATAAACAAGACAGAGGCTCTGTCATCTAAGAACTAGAAATCTGTGGAGAAAAAGTGACATAAACAGTTTCTAAATACAAAGTGGGGAGCTCTGGTGGCATAGTGCCTAATGCATTTGACTGCTAACCAGAAGACTGGTGGTTCAGACTCACAATCCACTCCTTGGAAGGAAGATGGGCAATCTACTCCATAGTGATATTGCCTTGGAAACCCAAGAAGGGGTTGCACAATGGACTAAGTATATGCAGGGTGTTATGGACATGGTGGTTGGGGATCTTGGTCAATTATAGCTCCTGTGGTTGGAGATTAATATACTGTGGTCTACCAGGAGAAGAAACAAATCAGTTTTAGAAGAAATAAATTAAGATGCTTTTTAGAAGAGAGGATGGCAAGACTTCAATTCACTTACTTTGAATTATGTTATCAAGAAAGATCAAACACTAGAAAAGGACATCATGGTTGGTAAAGTAGACAGTCAGCAAAAATGAGGGAAACCCTCTATGAGATGGATTGAAAATATAGCCGCAACAATGAGCTCAAACATACCAACAGTTATGAAGATGCTGCAAAACCAGATGACGTTTCATTTTATTATACTTAAGATTATCATGAGTCAGAGCCTACTTGATGGCAACTAATAACAAAAAGCTGGAGACCTGCCAGGCACATTCACATGTGCTGCCACTTCCATAGCAGCATGATGCACCATTAGTTCACCTGGCAAAATCTTATACTTTAATCCCCAGCTTTAACATTACTGTGAGTATCCTTGATTCCTGTAGAAAGTCCTCTATGCTCCATCCTATGCCCCACATGTACCTTTCATATTTTTTTCAAAGTCACCATTTTCTGTATTAAAGTAGTTTGCTTACATATCTGTCTTTCTCAAAGAATATGAACTTGTTGAAGATAGGGAAGTTTGATTCTTTTTAAAAAATAGATTTCAAATCTTTCTACTTCTCTCCACCTTGACTGCTCTGGATTACTGCAATATGCCTTTAACTGGTCTTCCTGCAACTACTGCTCCACCCTGCTAGTTATTCTCCATGAAGCCACCAGATTGTGCTTGTAAAAATCTAGATCAGATCATAAGGTCCCTTCCTCAAGAATCCCCCAATGGCTCCATTGTGTTTGGACTAAAATATAAACTCCATACTACATATTCCATGTCTGACATTATATCTTACCAGTCCCCACTCCATGTGGCCTCCTTTAGCTCCTTCAACTCTAGTCTATCAATCTTATCTAAAGTAGATCTATAACACATATCATGTTTCTAATTATGTAGCTATTTCTGTGTTTACTTGTTCAATTTGTCTCTCCCACTAGATCTTAAGTACCTTAATAACTGACATTATTGACCTGTTCCCCACTCTATCTCCAGTGGTTAGTGTGATGGCTGGTGCATAGTATCAGTTGCCATCGAGTTGATTCTGCCTAATGGAAACCCTAGGAACTCTGGTAGCATAGTGCCTAAGTCACTTGACTGCTAACCAGAAGGCTGGCTGTTCAAACCCACCAGCCGCTCCTCAGAAGGAAGATGGGGCAATCTACTTCTGTGGTGATACTGCCTCGGAAACCCAAGAAGGGCACATAACAACAAAAACAATGGAAACCCTATGTGTGCAGAGTATACTCCATGGATATTCAAAGGTGTGACCTTTTGGATGCAGATTGCCAGGGCTGTCTTCTGGAGTGCTTCTAGTTATGTTCAAATTGTCAATCTTTCAGTTTGCAGTCAAGTCCTTAACCATTTCTGCCACCCAGGGACTCCTGGCGCATAGATGCTCAGTAAATATTTGTTCAATGGATGAATGAAGACAGCTCTAGAATAGTACTTCCCAAATCTGTAAAATAAGAATATTTGTCCTAAACACTAGGTTAAATTGCAGAAGCTACCCACTGCAGAGGCAGCTGGCCTAGAATCCTTCTGTTGGCTCTAAGATCTTAGGAGATATATATCTCTTGGTTTACCTGACATTTTTCATAGCTCTCTGATTGAGAAGTTCTGGTCTAGAAAGCAGCCAGACCAGATGACCAGGATCACCTTTAGGCATACATATAACATGTCAGCAGAGGATGTGGTTATTCATAATAGGCAAATGGGTACATTCATCTACTCACAGGGTTGCTCAATCCAATCCAATCCCCTGCCATTGAGTAGATTCCAATTCACAGGGACCCTGTATGACAGAGTAGAACTGACCCATAGGGTGTCCAAGGCTGTAATCTTTACAGGACCAGACTGCCTCATCTTTCTCCCATGGAGTTCGAACTGCCAACTTTTGGTTAGTAGCTGAATGCCTTAACCACTGCCCTAGCAGGACTTCTTATACAGAAGTACTAGAGTCTTTAAATTATTGGGTTCCAAAAAAGATTAGTTTGGGGCAGTGTGGTGAACTTAGAGATACACTTCCCAAAAGAAGGACTTTCTGCCCAGATGCAGGGAGTGTGGTCAGCCGAAAGATCCAGCTGCCATCTCCTGCAGAGTGCCTCAGCTGTAGAGAGGAGCCTCCAAGAAATCATGCTCTTCTAGGGCGCACACATCTAGTGACTATGCATGCCAGAGGTATAAAAGCCCAGCCATCTAGGCCTGTGAGAGGCAATGTTCACTCCAGAGCTTTTTACCAGATTGGCCAAAGCTTGCCAGCCTGTTTTACAGAAACATCTCCCTCTGCCCAATCCAGCTTCCTCCCTCACAGGTGTTGATCCCTAATAACTGATCTCAACAATTTGCATCTTAGAGTCTATTTAAAGAGAACCTACCCTTCCACAGGAAGCTTCACAAAATATAGATCTGGGAAAGAAACGATTACAAGATTTGTAAAGAGATTATGGAGCAGCTTGATGGTTTAGAAGGGTGACAGTGTGTGTGTGGGGAGTGTGTGTGTGTGTGTGTATGTATGTATAAACAAATCTGTCTGGGACAGGGAAAACTGGCCCAGCAGAGAGGTGACAAGGATAGTGAAGTGAAGGAGGAGGCAGCTGGTCGAGAACTACAAAACCCATTGTTAGGAGTTCTGGGTTGGGTCTAGACTGAGGAAGTGATGATTAGAGCAACTCTGGAACAAGAGGATTCTTGTTGTCATGTGCTGATCAGTTCAGAAATAGCAGAGGCTAGGAGTTTTGTGTGCAGTTAACTTGTCCTCTTATCCATCAGTTTATAGCTCTGTTGTCACAGGTATCTTTTTTTTTTTTTTAATTAGGATTTGGGTGAAGATTTACAGAGCAAATTCACTTTTCATACAGCAGTTCACATATACTTTGTCTCATGTCATTG